CGTTAGGCTATCCAATCACGCGATGCTTTCCATTAGCAATTGTGTTTGTTATCGACGAAAAAGCATAGACTATAATCCAGTCTGCATACACGACCACACTCGCGCGCATCGGGAAAGCCGCAGAGGTGTGGTCAATACGTTTGATCTATGTGGCGAAATCCGTCTGTGCATCCATCCGTATTCCAGTCGCTCAAACAGCAGCAGCGTCGCTTTCATTGGCGAAAAATCTGGTTTACCAATCTTCAATGGCGCGCGGACATGATGAGAACACATCATCCACATTTATACAGGACGGCTTCTGTAAAACGGTTCCGCATTATTGATGACTGTTTCATAATTGATGACAAATTTAGATCTCTATGTTATTACACTTTTAAGTATCGAGCGCTATTTATAAGTTGAGGAGAAACAAACCTGATTATAAAGACGCTCGTCATAGTAATCATTCAAACGCTCGTAAATCGCTAACGACAATTTTATATCCTTCTATATATGAAATCTTTAATTACATTCTGATGTCACGAGAACCATTTGGAAAATATAATTATTTCTCTATTTAATTAAATGCGTGAATTTATATATACAGTATTTTATAAATAAGGTTCCAAATTATCATTATTCCTAAAGTGTTATATATGTATATTTTTTAATTTGTTGAGTAACATTATTGTATACAATATCGATACTGTAAATTGCTATTTATAAGAAATAGTAAAATTTTTTTAAACTTAAATTATCTGTGTCAGATCAAATGTAAAGAACTTGCGCGACTTCGCACGCAACTGTACAACAAAAAATTCGACTTCAATAGTCACGATTTTCCACAACAGTACAATTCCAAAGGTAATAACGACTAAAACGACGACATGCTTGTGGTCGCAAACTGTCTCTTGAGACCGACGAAGAAACTTTGGCTTTCAGGATAAAAATCCTGGGCGTCTGAAGTCTGAAGATCGACCTTCCTCTTATGGGTATTCCTAACGATCGCGTTCTCCTTTTTTAGAATGTTATCGAGGTTACGATTGTTAGGACTTGGGAGTGTTTCGAGAAATAACTTTTATCACGACCAGACTAAATCGTTCCTTGTCTTTTGTCTCTCGATAAATTACTGTACATCTTAAAAAAATCGTCGCATTGCTTTCTGAGCAGCAGAGAACAAATATAAAGGTTTTCGCATTGTACATCATGTAGGATAATCCCGATATCGTAAATCGCAATTATTGAAAACTTAATTTATCTCTTATGCTCGAAAAACCGGATCTGAAGCAGAATTTTTATTTTTACTTGACTACGAAATAGATTGTATTAGTGCTGATATCAATTTGGGAGATTATGATGAAAACTCGTTCAACAATAGTCACGTTCGATCTTTCAGCAGTCGAAAATGACAGTTCACTTAGCTGGCGCGTGTCGAAGAAAACGAATCCATTTCGTATGGTTCGAACGGCAATACGCTTGTTGCATTTTGGCAACCGGCCCGTCGAACAAAGAGGTCTCCTCCATCGGTCACTTATTCCGCGGGATATATCTCGGTGCATCGCCTCGTGATCGAGGAAGCGATGGTTTACGAGAGCCCACATAGGGGAAGCGCGCTGAATTCCAATGAAACCGTCCGAAAATCTACTGGATAAGGCACGACAGAGTACAAATGCCAAACGACATGCGCAGTCCTCTCGTTTCGGCTCGACTCGGCGTGGATAAAATACCGGATGGCGCGATACTGCGTGACGTACGAGTAGGATTTAGAAGCCTTTCATTGAGAATTCCCCATGGATAACTTGACGTGAATCCTCTTGAAAGGGAGTCACGATGGCGTCAGGTTTAGAAAATTTTATAAAACGCAAACGTGTGATGTGGAAAAGGACGTGACATATATCGAAGTTGGATTATACTTGTACCTCAGGCGATTACTTTATCCTGTAATGACATCTTACAATGCGAGACGTCTCGCAAATCGCGATTTTCAATGACCGACTTTTACTATTGGTATATCAATCGTAAATTGTGATACTTTACATAACGCAAAATTTACCCAAGAGTTCAAGCAAGATTTACATTTCCCTTTTATATGTGTCTGGATCTACACGATTCGTATCTAGGTACATACATATGTAGCGCGAATATGGCGGATCATAAACGTACCTTTACTACTGTACGTTACGTGCCTCGAAGCGAGCGTATGTCAGGATGTAATACGCATTAAACATTTTCATAGAAATTTATAAGAATTAAGAAGTTAATGAATAAACTTGCAGATTATTTTTATAATTATTATATCTCTGTTCTCTGAAAAGAGATTACATATACGTTTTCTTTTCAGGGAAAAAAAAATATAGTCAGTAACACTTTGTGCTTTGAGATTTCATCTGGAAAGCTTTTCTATTATTCCATTTGAATCCACTAAATTCCCGCGAGTCGACGAAATGCAATTACCGAGTAATTCGAAGGACTATAGGGCAAGATGGTGCGTTTTACAGATTGGCATCCAGCCAGCTTCTCTTCGGCAAATCGTATTATCTTAACGAGACCAGATAGTACCCTTTTGTCAATGAACGATGATGTGTGAATGTATCGCGCTCTCCCAATCAAAGGCTGTCGCAATCGTAAAACGTTAAACGCAAACGAGAATAAAAAACTTCTCCGTTTGGATAATTGACTACTGAGGCAAATTACGTTTCTTTATATCGTCGAGATTCTATTAAAATTGTACGATTTTAAAAGCTTATAGAGAGAAAGAAATTTTATTAATATATTTATATAGAATAAAAAGGGTTAGGTGTTTGTTACTGATTTATTTATATTCTGATATTTAAATTTCTACATTTCCACAGTATACAGTACAATATATGTATAATATTCATGACATATTTATACTTACATAAATTTTTCAAGTAATAATATGTAATCTCTATTATTCCCTATATTTATTTCGTGAATTAGTAAGACAAAATTCTTTGTCACATAATTTTAATAAAATAGACTATTTCATTAGACATCATACATGATGTCTGTATTGCAAATAAAATTATTGTGACATAATGATCACATAACAAATGGTTAAGTGGAGCAAATACAGAAAAGTTTGTTTCTCCTATTTTGTAACAAGAACAATCATTTCACCGTAGAAAGCCTGTCGAAGTATCGCTATTAAAGCGAGTTTATTCGTCGTTCTCGTTGGCCGAACGTTCTCCATTATGAAGAGCGAGATAATACAGATTTATAAGGTGTCTTATACAAACTGGCACTCAGCCAAGCTCGCCGAGCCGGGCAGTTTCATACTAATGAACACGACAGATGTTACGAAACTCAATTTTCCATATTGTGTGTCGACGAGGAATCGCATTATTCCCTTAACGCGATTATATTTTTGACATTAAAATAGATACAGATAAAATTGATTAATTAAAAAATTAGTTGAATAATAAATTTTACACACATATTTTTAGATGAGAATATTCTATATTGTTAAAACGACAATTAATCAAATTTTTCACTAAAGAAAACTCATCTTTAAGTTGCTCAAAGAAGCTATAGCTTTTTTAGTAGTTGACGCGCTACGAATCGTTTTCCGTTTTGCCGCAATGAACTTCCGCATTGTAGTATACGTACGCGGAACCGTAACAAAGAATACGAGGAATGTGGACTTTCGACTTTGTAACGTCGAGACTTACAAAGCCGTAAAAGAGGATTGCGGAGCGTTTCGTACGTTTTGTGCTACAAGGGAATCTTTCCTTCTTTGCCTCGACAAAAGTCTCAGCATTACCATGTTTACGTTCACTCGTTAACAACTTATGAAACGATTCCTTGCAAGAAAGAAATCGACGGAACGGAACTATTTCCCCGTGAGGGAAATGTAGAAGATAGCGAAAACTTTGTTCAATACATTTTATGTTACTTGCAACAATGATGAATGTGTGAAATATATATATATATATATATATCTCAAATAATCAAGCCGTCTTTACTCTCACGCATAACGACGAAACTTCTTCAATAAAATTTAAACGTTTCGGAAATTAACTCTCTCATCCTTTTAAATTCATTATGATAGTAAAAAGCAGACGCGCGTAATAAGTAGGTATAGACCGGTCCTTATATGTTTAAGATCGTCTTAAAAGACAAAATACCATTTTTGTTACTTATAAAGTATACTTTTTATTGATTTCACAGAATAAAAATTCCTTTTCTACGATTAAAATACACATACTAATGTATCTCACTGTGATCTATTTTGTGTCAAAAACAGGAAAAAAAAAAAGAAATAGCGAAATACTAGTGAATTCGACGTAAGTGTAGACAGTAAGAGCTCGCGGAGCTTTATTTGGAAATTACGGAGCATAGTAGTTAAGTATGTGACGGGGGACGGCGTCCCGTTCTCATCTCGTGAAGGATTAAGCCAACCGAGAGGATTGAACATGATAAAGCTATTCATTATGTCAGTCGAGAAATTTCGCGAGAAATCTCTCGATATAAATAGACGACTTGTCGACTGTTCATACATGCGATAAAGCCAGAAGAGGCATAGCTCGCGTTGAACTGTTACAGATAACGGTCGCATCAACCGCGGTAACTGGTCGATAGAACGAATCGATCGCTTTAAAAAGCCCACGGTTGCTTTAAGAACAATCCCGTGTTTTACGAGTAAGAAGCTTTACCCTGCTTTTCCGTGCCGCTGCGCTTTATGTCTCCCGACACGAACGGACGCGAACGATGTTGGTATTTCTCGTCAAGTCATCCACTTGCCGGATGCACTGAGTGACGTTTGCGCTCTGTCTCAAAGAGATCTCTCTTTCTCATCCTCTCGACGGACCTCATCCATTATTCTTGCGAGTCTTTATCCGGCGCGGCGAAAAGAAGCGCGCGCGTTTTCGTCAATTTGACTTTGTAATGTTATTTATCGTGCGAACAACACGAGATTGTTTAATTCAAAAATGTGAAGTACTATATTTGTGTTATTTAAGTACAATGGAACATTATAAATAAATTCTTGTGTGTTTCAGCTAGTACCAATCTCGTAGGCAAGTTCACACAGAGTGTGCGGAGAATCGTCCAAGACGTGAAGGACGAGGGTACTTCTAGTAAGTTCGATATTTTATCACATTCATCTCGCGTGGGAGTTTAATTAAACTTTAGCCGCTACCTTGGCAAATCGCCGCGACTCGATAACCTTATACGCTGAAAAAGACTGCGAAATGATGAAGTGTTCCTACGCTTCCTCTTTACTTTAAGAATGCTTTTATTTTACGGCTCGCTCATAAAATCAAATGTGAATTTATGATTTTCCTCGATAATCTCAGAAAAATCTAATAAGAATAATTCCTGAACAAATTTTTGTTAAAAACTTATGAAAATAAATAGTAGACTGAGAAAGAAGAGAAATTTATAAATTTAATTTAAATATCTATATCTCTTACAAAGAAATATTCTTACAAAGAATACTGCAGACTAGTTTGATACTTCTCTCTGTATACAAATATTTTAAGAAACATTCCTAAAAAAAAACCTTTTGGAAATTTTTTATTCGACAATTTAGTTGAGTTTTTTTAGCCTAGGACACATGCACTCTTGACAGAGAGAAAATTAATACTAACCAATTTATTATTGAAAGACAAAAATTAATTGTAATATTTATTTGGAATAGATATTAAAAGCATTGAACAGCAACACTTTTAATATTATACTTCAAATAAATAATTAATTACTATCTTTTAATATTAAATTGGTCACTATTAAATTTCTTATGAAGGTTGTCTATTACAATATTAATATCTTTCAAAATATAGAAGTATGGCACAAGATAATGTCCCATTCGTATTAATCATTGCATCAACTTTTAGATATAAATTTAGCTTTGAATTTGTTTATCAAAATTAAATATTCTAATTTTTTTTGTCTTATAATATGCTAAATAACGAATTAAAGATAAAAGGCGAGCATTCATTCCAAGTATAGCAATTCCAATGAATCAGCAATAGAGACGTTTGTACATATCACTCGGAAATAAGTGTCTGGCAGTCTGCCAACAGCGAACGTTGTTAGTTGTCCCATGAATGGAATCGAAGCGGAAACTCTTGTATTCGATTGGAGCAGAGAGTAACGGTGTGTCGACTGTCGCTGTATTAGCTGAATGGACGGAAACTTCGTCGGCTGAGAATTCTGTCAGGCTTAGATTAACGTTTTCCCATCGACGAATGTGGAACTATGATTAATTCCGACATTAACGTTCCCGTGCCGTCGTCGGTGAAATGCGATCAGATAAATTCCTAACGTACGGCAATAACATATGTACAGGAGATCCACAATCTCGATCTTGATGGCAAATTTCTCAAAAAATTTAAAATCGATCTAATCTCAATAGAACATCAAGAATAATCGGTTTTTTTTTTTTTACAACCATGCAATAATTTTCGAAATTACTTATACGTCTTTCTAATCGATTCATAAAAAGTCAATTCATAATTAGTACCATTTAATGTAAACTTAATGAAGAATTGACGAATAAAATTTTTTAAATGTATATATTTTATGTTGCTTAAAATATTTATCGTGATTTTATTTATTTTTGGGATTTGAACTTTTCCTAGAAAGATAAAACTATGGCGGAAACACGTCGATTAGTTGCTTATCGCATCATGCTCGATTTATTTATGTCGAAACTTTCGACGTTATCACGGTGTCGAGTTAATTGGAAATTAATTGAAGGCGACATTCGCATGCGCGATGCCTTCGTCGTTTCCATCGCGCTATAAATTAACAGCCCTGTTAAACGCGACGAGCAATGATTGAAGCGCATGATAAGGAAAATCGATCGAATACAGTGATGAGTGTAAAACGCGTCGATGCACGACAGAAGTAATGTTTAGGGGAAATTGCCCGTGCTTCCGATACTTTTCGAATTGCAATAAGGCTTCTCTCTTGCGACGGACGCAGGTGGGCAAACGAAGGAGGAAGTGATCGAGACGAATGAGAGGCTGAGAGTCGTAAGGATACGTTTGGATGGTAGCTACGACACCGCCAAGAGGGCCCTCGTCGAACTGATGTGCAAGTACACCGACAGTAAGCAAGTGCGCAACGTGTTTCAGCGTTATAACCTCCTCAAAAATATGATTAAGGTAAGACAGGAGAAACCGAGCGTCGTAATTGGATGTAGCACACGTGTTTTTGTCCCACGCTTTGTGCTCGGTGAGCGTAGCTGTGTCCCAGACTGTCACTTGACGTAATTACGGTGTGTAATTATGTTGCCTCGGTGTGTACAGGTAAACGATGAACACAGAACAGTAACTCGCTCCTGCTAAAACTCGGTTGAGTCACCTGCACTCGACTCTCTGTTAAGGAATTGCTAAGGAACTAATTATTAACTTGTAACTATAATGTAAATTGTAATTAACTTGTTGAGAAATTTATAATAGATTTTTTCCCAAAATCACAAATTATTATAAAGTCTATAACAAATAATTTTATAACAAATATGATATTTATATTGTCGAATTTTTTCCTCAAATAATTTCACATTTTTCAATGTTATTATATTTTATTTTTCTTTAAACTCTCTCTTCTATTTATTATTCAATTAAAGTAAAACAAATTTATTTACAAAATCATTGTATATAATATTTAATACGTAAACATGATAGCCAATTTTTGATATGACTGAGATAAAAAATGATCGGAAAGAAAGCAATAAATTGTAAATAATTATAATTACAGAGAGATAATGTGTGATATAAATTTATTAATCCAGGAATAGTCACCTGGGGTATTTTTACATTCCAGTGCAATGGCGAGAAAATATCAATTGTAAAATTGAATATTATTGTCTTTATATTTTTGGACATATTTTTTTTCTTTTTAATAATTATTCTTTACAAATCTTTAAATATGTAATTCTCCATTATAAACCAGTAATAAAAAAAAGCGTTATATTAATTTAAGGCTGTTTTTCACGCTAATAAACTTTATTCTATCTTTTTTCTGCAAATACCGAGCAATAATGATAGACTGAAGCTTACAGTGTGTAAGCATGAAAAACAAACGCAGCCCAAATCTTTATTTTTTACTGTCAATAAGCTGTTTATTAACGTGCTTGTTTCGCTTAATATTTATTTGGTTTCTTACTTTTTTCAGAAAATTAAGAATAAGTACGCATTTATAATATTCTCAAGTGCCAATAAATCGGAAAACGATCATTAACGTACAATAATCGTGATTTTAATTGGAATGTAAAAACCTGAGGTGTACTTAAAGTAAAAAGAAATAATGTGACTGTACCTGAATTAAAAATATAGTCTACGATTATATGATATTTAACTAGTTCTGAAATTTCTCTCAACGGTACGTTTAAATTTGTCGATTCAATATTTAATGAAACTGATCGAGAAGCGATTATTTAAAAAATGATTCAATAAAGAGCAGCGGAAAAATGACAGATGTATGATATTTTGTCAGTAAATAGATAATAGAGCGCAAAATATCCAGACTCATCCGCGTGCAACTCGACGCGCAATTCCCAGTTGCACAAAACCGATGAACGAACAAAGGGAAAAACTCAAAACGCAGCCGTTTTATTTTTCGAAGTATCTACGCGAAATGCGCGCTGTAACGGGCGCGACGTTTGTTATCCAAGAGTAGATCGCGCACCTACGGGACAAGCAACAAATAAAGATACGTATTTGTGAAAGATAGCTATAGCATGATTGCCGGATATGTTTGTAGTCGGCGTGGAAGACGAACGCACGTTATCACCATCTTTTAGTTCTATTTTCCCCCTTTTTCGCTTTTTTTACTTCTCCGGGATACATACACACAATTCGCGATCGTTGGTCCCACAGGTGCATTTTCTCGGACGACGACGTTTGTGTTTCTAGTGTAAACTTTTGTACCGAGGCAGCAGCTCGCGCTATCGAGAGAATCGATAGAGCTAGGAGTTTATTCCTGTCAGAGGAAAAACCAACTTGAGATTAATCTTCGAGTGATACGAGTGCAAAATAAAATTGCACCCTGTAAATAGTGCCGTTTGTTCCATCGACGGTTGTGTAATTCCAAAGTATATTGTTTAAAGTGCTTACCAATATGCGAGAGAAAAAGTTAAATAATACAATACATTAGCACTATACATAGAAAAAATTGTTACTTTGTTATTGTAAAGACAATGCGTAAACTTACCATTTGTCGACATTATGGAAAACAACTGTATTGTTGTTATTACGGAATTAAATAATTAAAATTAATTTTCATACGAAAAAACGATTTAAATGGCATATTTAAAAATCTATGTTGAATTACAATAATTAAATTAAAATAATGAAAAGGAAATTGAAAAGTGTTAAAGAAACGTAAAATAATAAAATTAAAATTAAATTGATGTTTCTTTGATAATTGATATTTACATGATCGACGAATAATTGAATCTAATTACAAAGGTATAGAAATAATATGTGACTGAAACTATTTTTAAAGAACAGACAGAAAAATTATAGTAAAATTTGATTTTTATAGACAAGATATCTTTACAGTTTGTAAAAGTCATCATTGTAGATATAAATATAGATTAACGATGTTACGTGTTCTGAAGCGTAGATGAAATCGATCTCGTTAAACCACGTCTGATGAATGGATCAATGACTGCATTCGACACTGGTAGATAAACGCAGATTCGCTATATATACATGCAATGGCTGATCAGTTTGCACAAGAGCGCTGCTTTTTTCGCTTAATTTTCTTTTTTTCGTCGTTGCCTCGGTCGTTGCGATAGTAGCCCGAGCTACCGACGGTTTTGCCCTTCCAGGATGTAATTAAGCTGGAGACGCAATATTGGACGCTGGTAGATATACCGAGACAGGAGAAGCAGGAGACTGTGCCCGCCTTCGTGTTGCGTGCTTGTTCCATCATGGAGAAGACTCACAAAAGCGGTGAAGGCGTGAAAACTTCGGCGCGTCTCGCCGAGGAGGCCGAGACTAAGAGAGAACGCATCGAAAGACTAGAGAGTGAGTATTTGAAGTGCGGTAAGCGATCGTTGTCGAGAATAGTAATAAAGTGGTAGATTTTGCCAAAGGAAAATAATTCTCCATTGTCCTCCGTCGATAGTTCTACATCCTTGTGGTTCGTTTTTTTAACTGCGACTTTGATTATTGTCTAACTTTAACGCCCTTAATCGATGCGACTCAAATAATGAATAGGAAGTCAATTATTTCATTTGTGAATTAATTTTAGATTTTTTTTATTCGTTTCTTTTGATTCGGTAATTTTCGTTTAACGAGACTTCAATATTAATTTTTGTAGTTTAATTTTTATTTAATTACTAACTGTAATGTAGCTGTATTTCTTTTATAATGAATTTTATTTATTAATTTTGCCTTAATATTGTATTTTAATGTGTAGGTATCTTGTAATTTTAATAGTTTAATATGTAGATATTTTATAATTTTATAATTATAATAACTATATAACGTATATATATTATACGCTCTGCAATTATGAAACAATTGTAATTTTTATTTGTTATAAATTATACGAAAGAAATATGATTCAATGATTTTCCTGTGAAAGCTTTCGAGTCAGAATAATATTACGATATATCATTTTCCGTCATAGTGTCCAAGAGATTAAAGATATTAAAGTTTCATTGTACATTATGATGAAACATATCTGTAATATGTGCGTTTGCTTGTATGTGTGCGTGTGCGCGCGCGCGTCATCAATTTTATTATTTACTCAACAAAATCTAGGGAACACTTTCGAATAAGCTAAAAATTGGGCAATATTCAGCACCGTAATTCGGTGAAAAATCGTCGCAGACAAAAAATTAAAAAAAGTATTTTAAAGGTTAAAATCTCTACTTTCGAAATCTGTAATTAAAATTTCAATATGATTGATATTTTACGGAGTTATACGAACATAAATGAATATCCGTCATATCTAAAAAATTTTCACAAACTTTACAAAGTTCTGTGGCGTGAGATAAAAATACACGAAAATGCAGTTTGCAGCAATCGAAAAAGTGAATCTTTACCTTTAATTTGCTTTTTTACTGAACGATTTTTTTTCACCGAGCTATTGAACGTTGAAGCAAAAGTGATCACTTTTGTTTCAACGTTCAATAGCTCGGTGAAAAAAAAATCTTTCAGTAAAAAAGCAAATTAAAGGTAAAGATTCACTCTTTCGACTGCTGTAAACGGCATATTTGTGTGATTTTTACCCCACACCATAGACCTTTCTGAAATTTGTACAAAATTATACGGTTATTTTTTTAGATTTGACAGATATCCATTTGTGTCCATATAGCTCCGTAAAGTATTAGTCATATTGAAATTTTAATTATAGATTTCAAAAGTAGAGATTTTAACCTTTAAAATGCTTTTCTAATTTTTTGTCTGCAATGATTGTTCATCGAGTTACGATGTTTTGAATATTGCCCAATTTTTAGCTTGTTCGAAAGTGTTCCCTAAATTTGTTGAGTACTGTATATTTAACTATTTTTCATATCGTATAATATTTAAAGCGACAATATTGACGCATTATATTAAAATAGCATTGCTGTCGACTATTAATACTTCGTATAAGCATTTTGTTAATAAGATATTAAAAAATTAGAGCGAATTTCGTTTTTTTCTAAACGAAGTCAGACAATTCGAGTTTTCGAAGGCAGTTTAAAACTTGTAGAATTGAAAAGCTACATACTTTGTAATTAATTTCTTTTTCTCGTCTCGTTTAAGATGATTTTTACACTCTTAGAAATATTTAACTAAATACTTTGTACAGTTCATAATTATTCTAGAAAACGTGATAAATTTATCATATTTTTCATGATCGCGATATATACGTAAAAAATTATTCGAAGATTATTCTTTATTTTGTATCTCGTACTTGCGAACATCACCATTGTATGATCGGGTGCGTGATTATCATGGATTCGTAAATTACTTCAGCAGAAAAGAGAACTTATTAACAATGTAAATTGTCGATAGCGCGAGTACGCTGAGCTGAAGTGGTAATTAAAAATATTCACTGCAGGTACAATATTCTGTCCTTTCTCACCTGTCTAATTAAAGAATCGTTTCCTCTCTCTTTGTTTCATAGCAGAATGTAAATTCTAGTTAAAACCATTCGATACAAATGGCTCGAATAAAATGGTTAATTAAAATCATTAATTAACTTGGTTAATTGATTGGAAATTTTTTCTGAGTATATATATATATATGGATATAATCACATATATGTATATATGTAATCTAATTTATTTTATTTTATTTTGTACCTTTCCATTTTAATAGCTTTATTTTATTTTATATGTATTTTGATACAGGAAAGTCAAAACAAACTATTTTTTTTTAATATACAATACCTGTATGATAAAAGACAGAAACTATTATCAAAATATTACAGGTAGAGACTCTGGCAATAAGAATATATAGTCAATAGACAATACAAATTTTTTAGGATAATATTTTTAAAAAACACATTTTGAAAAAAGTTGCAGTTTAAAAATATTTTTCTGATATCAAATTGCTGTCCCAGTACTTCAGTTTGATTCTCAGTTACATGTAAACATACATATTAACGATCAACGTTTCCGCTTGGTTTTTATTTTGCCAGCAAGAGCAATATTTTCCTGAGCATTAATTAGTGCCTCTCGCTGGAATATCAAGCGAACTATGTTGATATACTACACGCAACACCCGATTGATTCGTTTTTACTTATGACCTTATATTAAAAAGTTTCTTTAAAAAAAAATTGTTACCTCGCGTTAATATTGTAGCACTTTTATATCGCATAATTGACATGAAAGCTATTTAATGAAAAAGATTAATTATATCGAATAAATATGTTGTATTTTAGAATTTATTAAGAATAAGGCATATACATATAATTGACTCCGCGTTTGGTGTTTTATTAATAGTTATCTTAAAAGCTGCGGAACAATCGTGTTCTCCATGATCTAATTCCAATATATTTTTTTTAATGTTTACGAAATCGTATTTAACAAATGAAACGAACTAATGAATTGATGTGTATCGGATAGATATGACGACGGCGCAAATTGAAGCTGAGAATACCCAGATGACCAATGATCTGTATAGATTGCTGAAGAAATACACGGGTCTTAGGAATCTCATCAAAGTATTAAAAGTATGTATTTTATAATACTTAACTTATAGATTTTGTCACATAAAAGGATATTTAGCCTAAGGAAAATTACATTTGGATGAATACTAGTTCATAATTTCTGAAAATGTTTTTTAATTTTTATTCGAAATTTTATTGAATATTTTCATAGTTTTATATATAAAACAATATTTCGATATCAAAGTTAAACTTTTTCAAAATGTCAACATCAAATTAATTTGATTAGTAATAAGAAATGTAAAATTGTCCTTTTTTATATTATAGCAATTTTTATTTTTCTTTTCAAATTTTAAAATTCATCGAGAAAATCAACGTTTTTTGAATAAATTTTTTTATTACAGTAGTTCTTTCTGATTACAGTAAAATTTGGAATGAGTTATACTATATTGATTATAATTTCGCGATCATGATTGTAAAAAAATACATAATACTGTTCAGTAGCGACGAAATATAATATCATCATATTAGAACATTGTTATGACCGTTCTTTTCCTTTTTATGTTGCAATAAGTTACATACTGCTACTTTTATAACACTTTCTGGTCAATGATACGACGGTTATCATCTACTCGTTTTATGTTCTTCTATGGAGTGTCAAATAAATCGAAGATTAAAGGCGATCGAAGGTACCGTAATATCAACCATCTTATGTCGTTTTTTATTCTTTTGTCTATATTCGGAAATATATATCGTGCAAAATACTTTTTTAAAGTCAAAGAAACTGTTTAAATATTTTACATTACTTCTCAAGAATTTATTCCTAACTTAGAACTATAAACGATATATATATATATATATATCGTTTTTTATACATATAATGCAATTAAAATTTTTATCTGTGTTTTATCATACTTTAAGTACATTCTCTAAAGGAAAGGATTATTAATTTCTAGTGATGAATATAGTTCTTCGATGCCACTTCTAGTGTGGCATATCCGAGGTTTCTTTTTACTTTGCTATCTTATAACATTTTTATTAATAAAGATACATACATTTGCTTGTTACTGTTACATCCTTAATGTCTTCGAATAAATTTATCATCAATTTTGACTTTTAAAGATATAGAAGATAGAATCGAATCATGAGAAATTTTGTTGTGGAAAAACAGACATAATATGCGTATAATTTATTATTTGTTAAATAAGGGTTACTTTCTATCGCAGGAGGAGTACAACGGCTCAAAGTTGTATCCAATGTTCCCGCGTTACACGATACTGAAGGATATGATAAAGGATATAATGCACAACCCGGACTATATGGAAGTCTGTCACGAGGTGGACCAAGCATAGCGGCCAGACCCCCTCCACCGTTCGCCACGTATGACTCTGTAAATTGTTCGGAGTTGCCGTGTGATCGTCGGTGAAGGGGGTGAACCACAGAACGCTTCAACTTCGACTGATGATTTGTTTTCGGACAGAGCAATTTCTGTAATCTTGTGTTTTATTCTTTATATTCGCGAAAATTTCCATTTCCTTACTTGACAAACCGTTCGTCAGTAATTATCATCTTTGTTTCGAATTTTGGGGTAAATTTGAAGCAAGTTGCGTCACGCTTTTATGAATCGTACACAATTTCTCGCAGGTAAGTTAGATCCGCTTCTCTTCGCGTGTTTTGTGAAGTTTCGGTACAGGATAGGAAAGATGATAAGGGGTTGAATATGACGCACTGAAGTATGTCATCAAATGTTGTGGAGCAGCAATGAGTACCTCGACATGCTATAAGAGCGCCGCGATATCAGGAAGATGAAGAATAGTCGTGGAGTTAAGGTAGGTCATGAGGTTGTTCTCCATAAGAATGCTGCTACTTACTGTTCAATCGCAAGAAAGAACCAAATCGACGGAAAATAAGCTTTATCCGTTGTTTAAAATAAAGACAGAAATATTATTTTACGAAAATAAAGTAAGATTAGTTTTATATAATTAGATGATTTTAATACATGATTACATTCGAGATAAATATTGAAAATTAAGATAATGTCGCACTGAATTTTCATAACTACAAGGTGATTAAAAAATTCTCAGATGAAATATAATAACGATAATTCTAGAACTTTAATTAAATTCAATATTTTTAAAAATCCTATTTGTCACTTTGTGGCAGAAGACAGATTCCGAGTCCTTCCAAGTAAATAAGTCTAAGTAGCAGGATTCATGAGATTTCTTCGTAGAAGCCAAGAGATCGTTTTATAATTTCTGATTTTGAGTTGAAATAGTCGCTCGCACGTAATAAAGAAAAGAGACTAGATGCGCTATTATTAATAGTGAGTGTCGTATGCATGTGGTATACCGTAATCAATTAGGCCAATTTGCAAGATCTACGAAGTGTGAAGTAAATTCGTATGAGATTGTGTTTGTACATAGATGTAGCTCGTGTGTGTGAAAATTAGCGTGAAATTGTGAGAGTGGTGTCAATGTGGAGCACATTATTACCTGCTTCCTGCTGTGTAGGACTCTCGTTATAAAGGACGTCGTCGGTCTCGCGCGACCGAATATTCGCTTTACCTACGAAGAGGACAAAGATTAAACTACTCAAGATTCTCGTGCAATGCTCTACGAAAAGAAAATGTATTTATAAAATAAAAAATATTAATTAATGATTTAACATTTAAAACTAAAATTTACAATATGGTTAACTTTGAATATGAAGATTTTATTGAAATATATTTGGATATAATGTGTGCATATATAATTATATATTTAATGTAAAAAATATGAAATATTTGAAATCACTTTTTATCAGCAAACATCAGAAATTAGGTAGTTTGAAATGTTTGAGAAATACTAAAAATAATACTAATATGAATGAGAAATGATTATTTAACATTTCAAATAAGAAAAATTTACAAAACCTATTATTGTGAAAGTTTTTATGTCACAAATTATTTGAGTCCAATATAATATTAAAATATATCAAATATAAATTCATACATATTTTAGCAACATTTTACAATGAGAATACATGTTTCGAAATTGAAGTAATATAAGTTAAAAATATATGAATTAAATAGATCCTAGGTTTATAAAGTAGAATTATAGTTTACACATGCATATAGATACACACGTATATACGATTGTAAGTTATTTTAACATTTAATAAGGCATGAATCATAGATTTATACACAAAATGTTTTATGAATTTTTTTGGAGTCTTCATATTTCCGCTTAAATAAAGCAAACTGAAGAATATTTTTTTAAGCCAATTTCAATTTAAAAAATCAATCTTTATACGATATAATTTACATATTTATCAATCACTTTTTTTATGTAACCAAAAATATGCACGTAGTGTTGAATATTAATCGACTATATTCTGTCGTATACAAATCATAAATATTAATGGTCTGTTTGAAATACACGCAATGCCTTCATTACAAATCGCGAGATTAGCTAAGATATATGACATTTGTGGTTCAACTATAATGTTTCTTTCCTGCGGAAACAGAACGGCAAGGATGTCATGTGTATACATTTTTATTTTTAATGCAGTACGAGATTTTCCTGGGATATATTCATACACTGATTAATAGTACATCCGCATCATACATTTAACATTAAATGCAGTTCTCAAATATTTGTATTAAGCGCGATTCATAAGCACTAGACAGATCATATTGAATAGAAAAGAAATTAATTAATAATTAAATACTGTTTATAAAACTCATTGTTAAACATTTAGCTAATATATCGTAAGATTCTGTATGCATGATGATAATAGTCGTGCAGAGTACATTCTCCATATACATTATATATTAAATAATATAAAATACTCGGAAAATAAGAGCATTAATTAAATATTAATTTGGCATAACGAACATATCATCAACGTCATATTTATCGTACACACTCTAGTGAAAAAGCCCTCGAAAAATTATGCGAGAAGTGCCTAATTGGGATAAAAGAAAAATATCGATATTATTCAAAGAATAATTCTATCTCTATTAGCTCGCAAGAAATTAAAAAGATTTTAAAATTATACTTAAAGTATTTTTTGGAAAATACAATTACAGTTTGCCGGTCAAGAAATTGCAACGGAATTAAAATCGAAGCAGACTCGAGCCAAAATACGATTTAATCGAGTAAAATTAAATTTGGAAATTATTAAAATTAATCCATTTAAAAAGTGCTGAATAATTTGTGTTGAGAATAAAAATTTCTTGATAGTGTGTACTGTATTAAAGAAATTTTCGCAAATCTTTTCCGATAAACTTTCGTTCAGAATATTTGCATCTGTATGCATATAAATATGCATATCATGCTGTTCGATATTGACAAACACAAGAGATATCATCGGATCAGTTGTCCGACATATAAAATGTGCCATATTCTTAAGTGCTATACCTCATGTAAGTATTTACGTACAGATGACAGAATCCAATATAAAACGTATGTGTTACACGGTCCCGCGTAATGCGAAATGCAACTTATACGCAACTGCACCGACGTAAATTAGCGCCAGCAATTTGAAATGCAATCAATAATAAGAGGGTTCTCTAGGATTTTATTGTTCTTGTATATCGTTAAGATCTATAAGCGTGTAATGCTATATACTAAAATACTTATAAAAGAAAAAAATGGCTGACAGCCCGAAATCAAAATACAAAATAATACGCGGCAGACATTGGGACGAAGAATTAAGGCATCGTTTCTCAAGGGCGGGCCCTTTCCAATGTTTGCCGATGGTTAGTGTTCCCTATGTCCTCAATACTATATCTTCCTTTAAAAATTAATCTAACACTGTGTAATCAAAACGAGTATAATTCATCAAAATGTTTAATCAAACCTAACTAGCATCTTCGAACATTATTCACGAAGCTGGATACAGACGAGAAGCATGCAAAATCAAAAAATAATGCTTTCTATCTGTTATTTTTTAATTAAATATGCAAATCAAAATTTTAACTAAGAGAAAATATTTTAAGAAGTATCCTCTCTTTTAGAAAAATATTGATATCACACGGAAGTCAATATACTTCAATGTTTTAGCTTCGTTTTGAGGTAGGTCTCTGACAGATGAATAATAACTTTTCTATCATCACAATCCTGATGGTATAACAATATTAAATTATTGAGCAACAGTGATCAATTATACAATATATGTTGTGTAGTATATCTAAACGTTACAGTTTGAACTTTAATATTTGTTAGAGCATTTAGCAATCTATTACTGGAAAAAGATCAAAAATTTCCTCAAAATTGATATAATTGACATAACGAAAAATCGTCAAAAGTAATATGTCTGCATCCAGCATTTTCATAAAATTTTTTCTCCGCGTTGACTGTTTAGACTAGAGCTTTTAATGTTTATTATATAAACTCTCACTATATATTGCGCATATAAAAAAAAACGTTAAGAAACATTGATACAAAAATATTCAATAAAAAAGTTCACGTTATTATATAATAATTTAACAGGTTTTTTAAACTAAAATATAATACGATTATCAAACTTATTATTATTTTCAGAGGTCTCAAAACAGTAAATTTATATTTATTATAAGAGATTAATTTTTTAAAAAAATCTATACGATAAAAAAATCAGCAGGTTACGTATTTCCAATAAAATTTAAAAAAGTGTCTCTTTTTAACAAAAATGGAAATTTTTTTACATTTTGCAAGCAGAAATATTTTGATCAATCAATTTTGTAGAAATTCTCAGAAAAATTTTCGAAGTTAACATTACTTTAAAGACAAATCTTTCACATTCCGTATAATCGGAATATATTTTCCGGCATTTTAGAGTCTCTAAACATTCACAAGAGTCACATATGGAAAGCTTTATATCTATATTTATCCATTTTACAATACAACTTGTATAAAAATTTGTAGTCTCGTATATCTAAATTGTGAATAATATAT